ACCGCTCCAAGATGGCCGCCCTAAATCTCGTCAGCGACAATAGGCGAGAGCGGTGCATGAGGCGTCTATCCTTATATTGTGTCTATGGCTGGCAACCTCTACTTCTTGTTTACCACAGCCATATGTAGCGTCAACATCTGATGACATCACGCTCTGCGTCGCCTTGTCGACTCGCTCCAAACCAGCAGATGGAAACACAGAAACGCGCCTAGTTCCTGTTTAATTCTGTGCACCACTCTAATAGTTTGGTTAAAATGTGCAGGGCAGTTGTGTGAAAGGTCCTGGGAGTATGTGCTGTCAGATCTGTTTGTGTTTAGAGTTAAAGCGGTTGTACCTGAGGTGAAGACGCGTTGATGCCACCAAACTCTCTCCAACCAGCCAACTGCATCCAGAGGATGAGGAGAACGCCGCCGCTGGACGAGCTCCAGCCGCCTCCCTACCAGGACGAGAACGGCTCTCCCAGGATGTCCTGCACACTGTCGGACCTGGGCGACGCCAAGTGCGACCTGTCACAGACCAGCGGCAGTCCTCACCTGTCCTTTGGGAAGTGCCTGAGCGAGGGCAGTGACGGCCAGGAGAGCGAAGGCTACCTGAACAAAGGCTACGAAGAGGACGCCCCCAGCGACAGCACGGCCGTCCTCAGTCGTGAGGTAAACTCCAGCCTTTGATCCGCTGACAGACTGATGCTCCTGCTGGACCTGAACCTCTGCTCTTCTAGGACACGTCGGCCCGCGGGTCGGCTGCATGCTTCCCAAAAGGCTACGAACCCGATGCCCTCTCCAAGTACGGCACTCTGGATGTGGTGTTTGACTACGACTCGGAGGAGCAGCAGCTGACGGTGACCATCATGGCGGTGACCGACCTGCCCTCCATGAAACACACAGGGAACTTCTCCTGGCAGGTGCACCTGGTGCTGCTGCCCACCAAGAAGCAGAGGGCCAAGACAGGTGTCCAGCGAGGGCCCGCCCCCGTTTTCACCGAGACCTTCCGCTTCAGCCACGTGGAGACGGAGATGATCGGCAACTACGCTGTCCGCTTCCGCCTCTACAGCATCCGACGCATGAAGAAGGAGAAGGTGTTCGGAGAAAAGGTCTTCTACCTCACCAAGCTCAACCTCCAGGGCAAAATGTCTGTGCCGGTCATCCTGGATCCATGCTGCAGTCTCCCGGTAAGACGCACCACAGCACCCCCCATCCCAGCTTTCATTGACTGCTCTTTACTTAACCTGTATTTATACAGTTCGTTACATTGATCCAAGATCTCTTGTTCAACAGACTCCAGTTTCAATGACACAAACCGGTCTACTTCAGTCCCACTCCGGTCCGCTTCAGTCCCACTCCGGTCCGTTTTTTCCAGAAAGTCTGGTTTGGTTGTTCTCAGAGGCTGATTCATGTTGGGTTTTGTTGGTTACTATGTAGGAATTCTTGAGTTTCTCCTGAGATTTTCAGGCTGGATTAGTTCCTTAGGAGGAACGTCATGCAGTGATAAAATCCTATCATGATTGATATGTAGTTTCCCCTGGTGGATGACTGGGGGGGTTTCCTGATGGCCACCTGTGGTGTTTTCAGGGCGGGGAGTCCCAGGTCAGCCTGTCTGACCTGACGTGCAGTGACAGCGCTTCGTCCTTCCTGTCCGTCAGTCAGACCTCGGCTCCAGAGATTCTGGTGGGCCTGGTGTACAACGCCACCACTGGCCGCCTCTCCGTAGAAATCATCAAAGGCATCCACTTCAAAAACCTGACTGCCAACAAGCCACCCAGTAAGTTCCCTGCAGCGCTTGTTGTTGACAGTGCAGCGGCGTTCAGGTTCACAGCCTCCATCAGTGAGACTAGCTTCTACTAAGAAAAGATGGCTGCCAGGTTCTCTCCTGCTGTGCAGTTTTCCTTGTCATCAGTTTCCTTCATTAGCCTCCTAACTTAGCTGCTAGGAGTTTCAGTCCAGCAGAAATTCACACATTAGCGCAGCTAATCCCAGTAAACCCCAGTCAGCTGTGGATCCAAGCGTAAACAGGACTTTACCGTCAGCGTGTGTTGAGAGACTCAAATTACCATCACTTCAGATACACGTCTCTCTACCTGCTCTTAGATTTTTCAGACAAGACACAAAAATGAGCCACAAACCAGAATGTAAAATCACTCACAAGACATTTATTAAATCAATGCATTTGGCCAAATGGAGACACAAATCACCCACAAACATGGACAGCAATGAGCAATGAGGAGGTCTCGTCTGAGTGAGAGAGTGAGGACTTCATACTTTTATCTCTCATCCTCTCACCCCGAGACATCATGAACCCCTCCAACTATTCCCATTCACACAAACTATACCTGCCAAATCCTCTCCTGCATAACACACTCCACTCTTGGCTGCTAACCATTTAAGGAGTTGTGTTTTCTCCTTCATTCTAGATGTTTCACCTTTTACTTCTGCTGCTGGAACATTCTGAGCAGCTGCATCCTGTTCTCCTTGTCTAACTGGCTAACAAGGTTATTCATCTTATCAATAGTGAAATATTTCAAATTATAATGGGAATACAAGTCTCTAAATGGTTTAACACACTGTAAATATGAAGCGTTATATTTGATATTCAAAATATGCAAAACTCAAAGCATGAATATACCTGATTGTTCCATTTTTATTTCTCCACACGAGTCTCACAGCTGTCGTCATCTGGGAGGAGATGAACACGAGAGACTGAGAAATAGTCGTCTTAATGGTTAGCGTTACTTTCCGCTAATTCTTTTAATGAGCTTAGCAGTTTAGAGTTAGCTTCAGCTAACTTTTTATGTGTTTAGTGGTTAGCTAGTTAGTGGTTGTTAAACCAACTTGTTGGTTAGCTTTGTCCAGCACTGCTGCTGATTTAGTTCAAACATTTGTTCTCCTTTCCAACTGTGGCAGCCATTTTAAAAATGTCCACCAGAAAAAGCACAAAATCAAAGAGAAGAAGATTTCTATGGATCAAATATGTAGCTATGATTTGACACCAACACATTCATCTGACTGGTGGTTTTTGATGCAAAAATGTCTTTTCTGTGACACGGCCATGTTGAAAAATCACAAGATTATCAGTAACTATAATTTCTATAGAAATGTTTTATCTGTTAAATGTTGTCAAATGTAGTGCAAAACACTATTTTCTTGACAACCATCTTGACAAATTAGCCACCATCTTGATTTCTTCAGTGGATATCATTTGGGGTTTATCTGTGAATTTCTAGCCAAAATGAAGGATTTTTCTGAAATCCCAAATTATCTAGTGAACTTTGTGCATTGTTCTTGATATTTGACCCGTTTTTCTTTCCTTACCTTCCTTCTCTGAAATGTGGTGCCTGCTCCTGATATTCTGTCCCTACTGGCTTTTGACATCTTGGTCACTGTTTTTCTTACTGCTGTGCAACCCTTGTTGTCAGACGGGCTGTTCTGTTGTCTCAAACACTTGGTAGGGGGACAGGTTTATATAATCAGAGGTGAGTCTGCGCCGGCCCACTCAGCCATTCTGTGCCTTCATGGATGCAGTTCAGACATTTCACTGAAATCTTTTCTTCATATTTTCACAAAACTGTATGCAGCTGGATGGGAATTGGCCCTTTGTCTTTCACATAGAACTAAACTGAGTAAAAGTAGAAATACAAATATTAGTTTCGACCTAAAGCTTCAGCTTCAAACATATTAAAGATGAACCAGCGTTGTGTTTTTATGTTTGTTTATTCTGCACCAAGACTCATTTCTTTCCTGAGATATTTACATTAAATCTATGAAATGACTAAAGATAACAGTTTGATTGACAAATGAAATATTTTCTGTTCAACAAAATTATTCCTACAGAGCTTTTTTATATTTATTTGATTTAAATAATTAGTTAGAACCAAGAGGTAGAAAGGAAGCACTTTTTCAATAAAATACAAACTGTTAGCCTACCTTAGCTTAGCTTAGCTTCATTTGTCTTTAGTTTATCTTAACTTTTTCATTCTGTCCTTACTTGTCTTAATTTGTCTAATTTTATATTGATAAGAATATTGGTAATCCAAAATAAACATAAAACCTGAAGTATGTGATTGGAGCTGAAGGTGACAGACTGAATGTCAGGAGCTCATCCATGAAGACGTTTGCTCGTTGTGAACCTCGTGTTTGTTTGTTCCTTCATGCATGAATCCCTCCCTCCGTTTCTGCCTGAATGTCTTGAACCGTTTCTCTCTGGTCACATTTTCATTCCAGTCAATCCGGTTCCAGGATTCCCAGTCAGTCTGCACAATTGCAGCTTCATTTCAGCTTTTTCATAATATACATAAAATAATTAGTTTTATTACTTATGTCATATTTTTGACTAGATTAATATAAAAATAGCATTTTTGAAAGAACTTGAGTCCATTTTAATTATATGAAATATTGGACAGATTGAAGATTCAGCTTTGAGTATTTACAGTTCTGTTTGGTTCTGTCTTGAAAATTAATATTTATTTTAAACATGAAAAAGTTTTTGTAAAATACAAACACATAATTTTATATATATGTAAAAGCAAATAAATATGTATATATTTTAATACTAGTTTCTGATGAGGATGTTCACTTACCAGAACATAAACTGATGTTACACACACACACACACACACACACA